ATAGATAATACTTTATTCGGCTATAAGCCCACAAGGTAAAACAAATCAATAGATAAAAATCAATAGATAAAATCAATAGCATTTTACAATCTAAAATATCAACTAAAATATTTCAACGCATAATCTCTAACTGTACCGTGTTATGGCCTTGAAGATAAAGATGGTGCATAGAGTTTACTGAATTTTTAATAGTCATGCAGCATTCCCTGAAGTCTTTTATAAGACAGAACTGAGATCAGGAATCTAGCAACCTGTAAAGTTCTATAAGAGTCAATGTCCTGGAGTAGATAAGCTAGATGTAATTCAGGTGGTTTAGCAGCAATTTCCAGGATGATTGAACTCAGGATCCTTGATCGGGGAACATTGTATAAGGGGCAATTAAACAAGATATGATAAAGGGATTCTATCGATTTGTTGTCACATGCGCACAAAACAGAGATTTTACCGTTAGAAAATCTATTGCTCAGCACATTTGAGGGGAACACATTAAATCTGGCTCTAACAAATGCGAATCTATGCGACGCAGCCGATAAAGTAGACAGATATCGAGGTATCTGGGACATAGATGTAATGCCCTGATATATCGGGAACATGTACCTCCACCTGTGGTAAGATTTTGTTGTAAATCTACATCCTCCAATCTTTGTTTGATGACCTTTTTAGCTGTAATTAGATCTAAATTAAGTATATCGGAGGGAGAGATTCCATAAGACAACAGTTTGGAATGGATTTTTGTTGCCCATGGGCTGGTGAATTCATCTCTCCAAAGGCACTGAATAAGATGGTAGTTTGGCAATTTATGCCAAAGGGACAGCCAATAATTAAAGGCATGTCTCCACATCAGAATCTCAAGGGAGGGGGTCTTAAGTTCTAAGCGAATGGCAGAGTTGCTTACACAGGAGGGTAGTTTCAAAAGGCGTCTTAGAAAAAGATTTTGCAATGTCACCAGAGGCAAGAGGTTTACAAAGACGCCCCATAAAGGGACCGCATAGGCCATAGTTGCAACCACTTTTGCACTATAAACTTTTAAGGCGGATGGAACATGCATAGCCCCCTCAGTAAAGAAGAAGCGTAGTATAGCGTAGATAAGGGCTTTCACCTTGTTTTGTAAATATGTGATATGCGCTTTCCATCCCATATTATACTGGAAGTAAATTCCTAGATATTGAAATTTGTAAACTTGTTCAATTGGCTTCCCCTCAAGTTCCCATCTATACAGTTTACGACTCCTGGAAAAAATTAGGACTTTAGATTTGGAATGGTTAATAGTGAGTAAATTTGTTTGGCAATATGATGCAAAAATCTTAAGGGCCCTCCTCAAACCGATTCGAGAATAAGAGAGGATCACCGCATCGTCAGCGTACAATAATAAGGGGCAGCGATAGTCTGCAAGCCTGGGTGCATGAATGGAGGTTTGGGCCTCAGCTAGGGGCGTCCTCATGTCACTAATATAGAGGTTAAAAGATAGGGGGCAAGGATACACCCTTGTCGTACCCCCTTGTTTATTGGAACTGAGTTTGTTAGATCGCCCTCAGGTGTTAACCTCACCCTAGCAGCCGTCCCTTCATGTAATTTAATCAATAGCCACAACAGCCCTTTTTCTATGCCCCACTTTGCCAGTTTTTCCCATAACAGCTCTCTAGAGATACTGTCAAAAGCCGCCTTCAGGTCTATAAAAGCGGCACATAGAAGACCATGAGTAGGGGAAGAATATTTCCGCGCCAAATGATATAGAATTATAGCATGGTCAATAGAAGCGCGATTTGGTCTAAACCCGACCTGTTCATGGCCTATCAGATTGGAATCTTCGGCCCATTGGGTTAGTCTGGTTAGCAAGAAGCGAGTGTAGATTTTTCCGATGATTGATAATAAACTGATATTACGATAGTTTCCTGGGTCCTCTGGTGGTCCTTTTTTATATATAGGAATTATGATGGACTCCTTCCATGATGTAGGTATCTGGCCCGTGGCATTGATTGCATCAAAGATTTTTGCAAGAATTTTAGCCCACCATATTGGATGTTGTTTAATAGCTTCCGCCGGGATCAGATCGGGCCCTGGGGCTTTATCAGTTTTCAGTTTGGCAATTAAATCTACTATTTCCTCCGGGTCAGTATCTGGCCATATGGGCAAGTGACTTGAGAGAGTATCAGATTGGATGTTAGAGATGTCTGTCTGGGAGAAATATTTTCTTAGAAATTGTTCCCATGTCGGGGCTGGGATAACCGTCAATGGGTATTTCCTCGATCTTTTGTTGATTAAATTCCAAAAACCGCGAGAGCTGCGAAGCTTAGAGGCAGCAATCAGCGCTTGCCAACGTCTTAGCTGCCACTCGTGCTTGGCTGACTTCTGAGCCTGTTTGTAAGCAATTTTGGCCTGCAAGTACTCTGGGGGGAGAGTTTCAGCTCCAGAGGCTTTATATCTGTTGTAGATACAACAGAGAGAGAGTCTAGCTTGCTTACATTTGGCATCAAACCAAGGTGCACCGAACCTGGGTTGATCACGGTTAGCGAGGTGAGCCGGCATCGTAAAGAAACTAGTTAAATCTGCAGAGAAGTGGGAGAACCACTCCAGTATCCTATTTGGTTCAGACAGCTCCGCCAATGAAACAATAAGGGATTCGGAGCTATTCCTCTGGAAGAATTCTGCATATTTTTGGGCCTGTTTCATGGACCATTTAATGCCTCTTACTTGAGCTGTGGCATTTAAACCTACATGAATTGGGTGTGTTCCGCTAACCGGGTGCCAGTCAAGCGTTAGCTTGGCCGCTAGAGGTAGGTGATCACTGGATTGTACATTATCTACTTTGAGATAAAAGAAATTTGAAAATAGGTCTTCTGAGACTAGAAGATAATCTAGGACACTATTTGATTTTGTGCCCAAATGAGTGAATTCACCTGGCACGTCCGGAGGGCAGTTGCCATTTAGAATGTTCAAATTCATACGAATGGCCAATTGATAAAGAAGGACTCCCGCCTCATTCACTCTGTTGTCCTTAGATCTTCTTGATGTGAAAGAGATTAAATCAGATTTTGGGTAGGGGGGAGATACCCACCACTTGGCCTTAATTATCCCATTCCAGTTGGCAGCTGTACGTGCATTGAAGTCACCACCCATTATCGATGGAATATTAGGGTACTTAACATAGCATGCCAATAAATGATCTTCCAGAGAATCCCATCTATAATGAAGGTCTGATATCAGACCACCTGGAGGAAGATAAACATTGGTGATTAATAGTGAGAATTTTTCACTTGAAATCAGACCAGTAAAAGCAAAAGGAGGAAAGGTATGAACTAGCGAGAGTTTAGCTCTCATTTTAAGCGATATGGCGATTGCAAGACCGCCTCTGGACCGGCCACCTTTCTGGGAGGGGATAGCTGGAAGTGATATCAGTTCAAAGCCATTTATATCTATTTTATCTTCTTCCCATGTTTCTTGCAAAAGGATTATCTGGAAAGAGTTTATATAGGACAGAAATTCGGGATCTAATCTTTTCCTTTTCCAGCCAGCAATGTTCCAACTTAGGACTGCTAGCTGGGGACTTCTATGTTGTTCTTTTAACAGTCAAAATGGAGGGGGGGCAGACTCTCTGTTAGAGACAGAAGATGTAACAAAAAAGTCAGTTATTTTACTTTGGGAGGATGGTAACTGTGAGGCGCCCTGCAAATTAAAGTTTTTAACAATTTGGTTCGACTGTTGGCACACCGTGGATGATCCACTGAAAGTAGGTCTCTGAACAGGAAGTCTCTTCATTTCGAAATTCTTGGTACAACTTGACAGAGAAATACCCAGGTAGGGGGAAATTGAGTCCGTCGGGGTAAACCCTCTCGCAGATTTGTCATCCGACATTCGGATTATTTTATTGATGCGTCCCATCGGGTCTTCAATCATTTCTGACGGCGGGTCCCGAGGTGTAACATTCGCAGTTTCCTTTGAAGGAGGTAATTGAGGGGGCATCACGGAGGTGGAAATTGCGGAAGACTCTCTCAGGGGCATCACTTGTGGACTACTTCTATATCTGGACGAAACCGGAGAAGATTCTAGCTCTGGCATAGATGAGTGAGTTAAAGAGGGATTTGAGTCAAGCAGGGAAATCAGAATTTCGTCCTTAGATATGTTGGTTGATGAATATAGATGAAGGTTCAGTGAGGATGGCAGAGCCTGGTCGTCTCGTGATGTAGCGCACGCTGCAGAAGCAACTTGAAGATTTGAGTCTTGTCGGATGGTTTTTGAATTCAGAGTGGGACTGAGCTGAAGAAGGTCAACCACTTCTGTCCGGTGGGCCCAAGTGGGATTATTTGAGACATCGTTAGTATCTTCCCCTCTATGTTGGACTTGCAAAAGCTGAGATTTAAGCGTGTCAAATCTTTGCATCATCACCGACTGTTCTTTCGGAGGAAGGGCTCTGAATGAATCAATAAGTTCCCTTTCGTCGAGGGCAGTCTGCAGATTATCATCCTCATATATAGCAGTTTGAGAGGGTATCGAGTTTGGTCGCGGATGGCACGCTGCAGAGTCATCGCGATTGGGCCTGACAGTATTTTGAGGTAAGGCAGAGTCTCTTGTCCTAATGTCCTCACCGCCAGGGCACCTATTTAGAAGGGGTTTGATCTTGCTGTCTGTAAAAACCCTCGTTGCTACAATGTCGGCCATGGACAAAAGCGTTTTCCTCCTAACAATAATAGATGGTATCTTTTCAGAGTGGAACGCAAGTATCACCTTCAAGAAGTTGGTCTGCCGGGATGGGTCATTACAGCATATAGGTCAATCTGATATTTCTTAATTTTTAAAAGTTTGCTTAAGCAGTCTTTAGCTCCTTCTAGCGTTGACCATCTTCCTATTTCCGACCTGACAGAAAGGCAACTTTTCTTGGGTTGCAAAGTTAATATCTGATTGTTCAATTGGGAATTTAAGACATATTTAGTTTTAGTCTCCAGTATTTTATCTGAATGGGGGTGAGGCAATAAGTTTTGACCTCACAAACTGAGGATTGTGTTGTTGATTCAAGTTTTCCGATTTTCAGCAGGATATTGGATAATTGTGAAGATACCTCGTCCAGCCTTTTAAAAATACAGTGAAGGGTCTTAATTACTAAGTGTAACTGCTCACAACTGGGGAACTCCCCCATAACAGATGCCAAACCATCTTCCTGCGATGAGAGTTTTTCTTTCGTATTCTCCTTTACAGGCTTTACATTTGAAACATTTTGAGTCATCGGAATCGGAGTAGCTTCTAAATCAATTAGAGGTTGGAAGCGATTTTGGGTTTCCACTGCAAAGCATTGCTCGGCATGGTCACTCCCTCCTCCATTCCGGTGTGGCACCAACCTTGATAGTTTTGGTTTAGGGGATGATAGGGGCTCGTCAAAGTCTCTCAAGCGTTTTTCTGACCCATGCTTTCCTCAGGCCAGAGATTATACGATTCTTAAAATAACATAACACTTAACACGCAATTAAGATAATGGCGTTCTCAACTCCTTTAGCAGCTAAAGCCAGCCCGCTGATATGAGAGAAACAAAGAGCGGCTTGCAGCAGTCTGGAGCAGGGCCAAATCTCTCAAAGAGTTTCCAAGGTATGCGGCTGCAGCAATTATAAAATACTTCAAAAACTGACTGAGTCAGTTGAGATAAAAGTATAAAAGATTAAAAAAGATTAAAAGAAGTCCGAAGAGCACCGGTAAGCGCGTCTTACCTCGGCGCCATGTTGGCTCCTCCCCCCTAAGGATGGAGGAGGATTTCATTCATTTTTAAAGTGGACCATCCTAATTTGTGCCTCCTGGGCTAACATAGGAGCCGGCTCCTAGGGGTCGGGGGGGCTTCAGCCCCCACAATAAAATATTTGAGGGGGCTGTCTCCCCGCAAAGTCGATGGGCATTTCCATTCAAATGCTGTGCATGCCCTGTGTCATGTGATTGATTATGTGGTGCAAGGCTTACCTGGACTCCCACAATATTTTATTCAAGTTGGCACCCCTGTGGGCTAATGTGTGGATCAGAGAACAATTATCCTTTTGATTATCCTTGCAGTTCTCCAAAGTTTGTGCTACAGATAGGCTCAAAAAATGTACCAAGATGCACCAAAATGTGAAATTTAGTATTCTAAAGAAAATCTAAAAAGTGTTCATTGAGGTTAAATAAGTATGGAAAAAGATACTTGCCATTTAAAAATGCATTTTAATGTGAATTTTTTCAGACAGTTCTGTCATTCTGTAATTCACATGTACAGAATAGAGGCAGAACAGGCTTGTGAATGAACGGCTGCAAAATTGTAGAAGTACAGTCGTACCTTGGAAGTCAAATGAAATTCGTTCCAGAAGTCCGTTCGACTTCCAAAATGTTCGGAAATCCAAGCGCAGCTTCTGTTTGGCTGCAGGAAGCTCCTGCAGCCAATTGGAAGCTGCGGAAGCCCTGTCGGACATTTGGGTTCCAAAGAACGTTCGCAAACCGAAACACTCACTTCCGGGTTTGTGGCATTAGGGAGTACCAAGGCGTTCGGGTTCCAAGGTACGACTGTATACTGATCTGCCCATCCCTGTTATGTATGAGGATGGGCCACAGTTCAGTGGTTCAGTTCAGTTTGCTTGCTGAACGTCCTAGGTTAAATCCCCAGCATATTCAGGTGAAACTGTGACTGTCTCCTGTCTGAAACCCTGAAGAGCTGCTGCCATAATAATATAATAATAATTTATTATTTATACCCCGCCCATCTGGCTGGGTTTCCCCAGCCACTCTGGGTGGCTTCCAACTGAATATTAAAAACAATACAGCATTAGACATTAAAAACTTCGCTAAGCAGGGCCGCCTTCAGTTGTCTTTTAAAAGTAAAATAGTTGTTTATTGCCTTGACATCTGCTGGGAGGGTGTTCCACAGGGCAAGTGCCACTACCGAGAAGGCCCTCTGCCTGGTTCCCTGTAACCTCATTTCTTGCAGTGAGGGAACCGCCAGAAGGCCCTCGGCACTGGACCTCAGTGTCTGGGCTGGATGATGGAGGTCCAGTCAGTGTAGACAGTGCTGAGGTTGAAATGTTTTGAAAGGAAAAGTTTTTATAGCTCTTTAAAGATTTGTGACCTGTGTACGGGTGTGTGAGAGAGAGACTGGTCTTTCTCTGCTATGGAACCTAAAAAACCAGGGACACTCAGATATGACAAACTGGCTTAAGACCTACAGCAGGGATGGAAAAAAACACTACTTAATATGGCCTTTCCGTCCAACAAGGCGTAGTACATTTTCTTTGTTCGTTGGTAAGTGATTCTTTCCATATCTTAAAACGGCAAGTGTGCTATGGATTGGGTAATATGGAAATTTAATTCAGCTTAATTAAGTTTCAAAGGGCAAGTGATAAATCAGCAAGCCTGTTTCTCCCTCTTATATTGTTTTAATTCTGTTTATCTTTATAGAAAAATGAAAAATAACAGTAAAGGAAAGAGATTAAAAACAAATTATATATCCTCCGATGTCGCTGGGGAAGTCTGCAGGCATTTTTGCAGCATTTTTTTGAGAAATGGTAGCAGGGATGGCATGGGTCCACACCCCAGCTGGGAACCCGCTGAGATGAGTCTTCTGCACCTGCTGAACAAAGGAGCTTGGCTCACTGAGTGAGGGGAGCCACACAGAATATCTTGCTCAAGTGCCGAAAACTTGGCAAGCCACATTTGGAATCTTGAGGCAGCGATGTGGGCGCTAGTCACAAAATGGCTGCCTGTGTATGTGTGAAAAACACAAACTCCTGTGTTGCAAAATGTAAAAATCTTTATTCCGAAACAGTGAATTATTCTGGATACACTGTCCTCTTGAGACTTCCTTTTCAGATTCCTTTGAGACTTTTATAGGACATCTTCCTTTGAGGGATGGCTTGGCTTTCCTCTCCATTCATTGACTTGTTTGACTCCTCATTTGACTCTTATACATACAACAACTTACAGTTACTTGTATATTTTGTGAGATTTACTATATGATATATATATTATTTTGAGGTGGCATATTAGTATATTTTGAATGACATTGTAATTCATTATATGTCCACTACCAGTTATTAGCCAGTGTGTTGCGTTTGCATTTGTGTATGTGTGAGACAGAACAAACAGGATATATTTTGAAGATATATTTACTGAGGACTTTCATGGGTACCATAATTGATGGGTGCGCTGCTGCCTGTGGGAACCATTTTGCTGACCCGTGGGGCAAACCAAGATGGAAAGGGATTTTAAAAAATAAAAAAACCAGGCCTTTTCTCGTCTTAGGCAGGTGACATTTTAGCACAAAGGAACTGATGAAAGATCGGCTGCTGCCGAAGGTGGTGAGTGTCGGACAAAGAGCCAGGAAATTGAGACAGAAAGTATCCACTAAAAGGCATGGGATGTTGGAAGGACGTCTAAACCTTTGGCAAGAGACGATGCAAGGATTTGATGCTGTCGGGCAGCTGTGGCAGGCTGAGGAAACTGGCTTAGAGGAAGGTACTAATTGGAAGCAGAGAATTCACCCTCTCCTGCCTTGTCCAGGGGGCTCCTTGGGAAAGCAGTGCTTTTCTGCACTGCTACCTGCCTATCTGACACAATGCTTTCCCCAAGCTTGGCTAGCATCTATTCTTGTCAGTTAGCAGGCAAAGGAGACAGAGGGAGACGGAATTGCAGGGTGCTCGCAATGCTTGGGCCTCTTATACTGCAGCACACTTAGCTTAATGGTTATTCCATCTTGGGGTTAACCACTATGGCCAAGGGTCAACAGAATGGCAACACGGCCAAACAGTGATAAGCCTGGTCAGCAAATGTGCAGATGCTTGAGGTTCTATTTAGCTGCATCCTACTCAGAGAAGACCCACTGAAATCAATGAATGCAAGCTGTTATATCTTAACTTCAGTGGGTCTACTCTGAGTAGGACTAGCATGGAATACCACCTTTGGTTTTTACATCCAGCCTGAAGAAATTTGCCTTCTCTCTCAAATATGGTGAGAAAATGTTTAGGGGTACGCATAACCCTGCATTCCCCCCCCCCCCAGAAAAAAGCACTGGGTTTCCCCCTTCTTACACATTATGCCTCCACCCATCTCCCCCATCCTTTCCATAAAATGTCAACATCACAATAATGGTGGAGGAAGTGGGAGAAATTCCAAGGGGAAATGATTATATCAGTGGTTGGCAACTAGAGTCAATTGGTGGTTTCCTGAAGATCTTGTTTGACCTGTGAGTGCTCATCACAGGAATCTACAGTACTCAACACCTGGATATCAGCCAGACCTCAAACCTCTTTAGTCCACTGCTTGAGCTTTCAGGCGCTCAGTTTTTTTGTTTGCATGTAGCATTGTTTTTCTAGGCGAGAACTAGGCAGCCGGCGTCCATCACTACCAAAAGCTGAGCTGGGTTTGGAAAAGAATTAAACGAATGGAAAATCCATCTATCAACAGCATGTTTAATAACCATGTTCAGGGGTCATCTAATGGGGAAAGGTGGTGTAAAAAAGAAAGTAAATAAATAAGTTTGAGTTTGTGAGCTTCCTCAAGGCATCTGGTGGGCTACTCTTCTTATGCACTTAGATTTGGGGTGCTCCCATCACAGTCTTCCATGCACTTGGTAGTAATTTGGAGAGATTATATATGACATGGGTCACCAATCCTTTTAGGCCCACGCACACATTTGGATTTTTGCTGTGGGCACCACC